GGGATTAAGTGTCAATAGAGATATTTGATTGACAACTTCACCTGTGTTCTCACATTTTTACCGGTTTCATTATCAAGGCCGTTCCCAAATTTATCTGCGTTATTAGAAATAGACCGCTGAGTGTGTTTAGGATTTGGGAGAGAGGACGGACCTTTCCCGTTTTTGACATGGGAGGGGCCCTTTCTCCCAAGTTCTATTATCGGAAACGGGAGAGTAGATTTGACAATACGTCTGCATTGAAATAGATTGGCCTGTATTACAAATGAAATATCGGACACAAAACAAGTTATTTTGGTACATTATTATTAACACTTATGCAGGGTGTATTTCATGCCTTTATTTTGCTAATATCACAAATTCCAATAAGAAAATAAGTAAAGTTCCCTATTCGAACTTGAAGGTCCATGGGGCAAGTGAAGTAGAGTTCACCCGTTTCTGTGACCTCGGCATAGGAATAGTGGGGCCACTACTGACTTATGTAGGACTACACATACATGATGTGTGGTCAGCATTATGCCCAGTCGACTATTAGCGATACTGTAATAAAATATGAACGGTCATAGTCCTGATATCGTTCTTCAAAGAACCATACACTAAGGATGATTGTGATCTGCCAGCGATTTTCAAGACTCACTAAGTTGTGCTAGGCACATGAAATAAATAAGACGAACTTGTGTAGAAAGTGACACAAAGAAAGTGTTTATCAACAGTACAGAAGACACCTTTATGGCGATTAGGATTTTATGACCCGTATCATGACGTCTTTAATGACTAAGACAAGATGATGTAAAACCATTCTATAAATAGTTTGTGTATGACGGGTTATCCATGCACTCCTAGTTGTACTGATTGTTATGTAGGTCATTGTTATGTTGTTCAAGTCATAAGGATTCACATTCTGATGAAGATTTTTGACCAACCGGACTTAATTGAAGCATCTTGTTAAGATCTATTGTTTCATAATGGACGCTGACAAAAATTTAGTGGAATACAGTGCGCAGAAACAGTGGAATACAGTAGGCAAAAATATTGGAATACAGTACGCAGAGTACGCATGCTTGTTTTCGTTGACCTATAACCTTAAGATAACCAGCAAACATGAATAGAGAATAGAGTTATGGAACTTGTGTGTGGTGTTGTGACTAATGTATCTGTGGTCAGCTACGTTACTTCCTGTGGTCATCATGATAGAGGAACTGAGATGGCGTGGAGACGGGGGGGGGGGGGTTAACTTAGGTGTGTGTGGGGTGTTTTGGAGATGGTGACTGTAAATTAGGTGGGGGTAAGGTAGTTGGGATATATGAGGGTGCGCTGTAGTCTAAAGCTGGTGGCTGGTACATAAGAGGGGGGGGGGGGGGAGATAGGATCACTGCTGACTTATGTAGAACTACACATACATCATATGTTACCTGAGATGGGGCCACTACTGACTTATGTAGGACTACACATACATGATGTTAGCTTATGTGGGGGGTGGGGGGGGGTGACACTGGTGTGAGATCCACCGGAAGTTTTGTTTGCCTGTTAGATCCCAGTCACGCGGGACAACACGTCACGCGTTATCTTGTTTGCTGTGTGACGTCATTCTTTGTTCGACTTCTAAAATTTATTTTTAATCATCGATAAACTCGCGATTGTATACCTGTCGGTGATACTAGCTTACCTGTCGGTGATACACGCTCACCTGTCGGTGATACACGCTTACCTCAGAGGCGTAGCGAGGGCGGGGGGTGAGGACCGCATCTAGTGACACCATTTAGGTGGGTGACACCAAGGCAAATATTGCAAATGTACAGAAGAAAAATGTCTTTTTCCAGTTCCTTTAATGATTGATAAAAGTTAATTTGTCTTATAAGTACAAATCGACAATTAGTATATGGGGGTTGGGGTGACACAATGACGTCCGTAAACGTACTAACTATAAACAAATACATATATATAGGGCTGTCTATATATATATATATATATATATATATATATATATATATATATATATATATATATATATATATATATATGTGTGTGTGTGTGTGTGTGTGTGAATAAGTACTATATTTCTTATACAAGTTTATCTGTACTTTTTCCCAAAGAAGAATATAAATATGAGGGCCTAATATTAGGTCATATACGTTTGCGAGAATTTCTTAAACCATCGCTACACAACTAAATGTAGTAGACTACTCACAAAAGGAAAATCCATTCATTTCTTGATAGTGTGTCACATTGACGTTTCAATGTGCTCTTCTTTTGTAATGAGTGTCTGACCATATTTCCTGTGAATCAAATCGATACAGATAGTGTTAGGTTTATGATGAAATGTGAAGTTGGGTTTGTAGGCATATGCCATATTTAAATAAATATGCGTACATCAGCCAACAGGAAAATAAAAAGTTTTTTTTATCCACTTTCTGTGGGAAATATTGTGGGAAAAGATATCAGTCATACCTTTGTTTACAATTTAGTTCAAAGTTCAAAAACGTTTTTAAAAACCGGAATATAATGTAATGTTTGCCTACGTGCCATTTACTTGTAGCAACATAATAATATCTACATAACACGATCCACTGTGTTTTATGTAAATTATCTGGGGAAAAGTGCGCTGGGCATCCGACAAAGATAAAAACTCAAAGACAAATGCTTGCTTTATATCTTTTGAAATAAATATAATTTTTTTATTGAAATTTTAAACTAAAAGCCTTTTCATTGTCCAACCCTTTCTTGCGAGACCTCGCATAGCTCCGTACCGCCTGAAAGAAACCTAGTTGTTGGCTAGGCCTACCCTCGCCCGGTTTTCGGCTGTGCGTGTCGAGTGGTCGCGCCAGCTAGCGGGGCTTATAAAACTAGATTGAGAGGGGAGATTACTCTCCATTCAGAGGTCGCGACGTAGCAACAAGTGGATATTGTATTATCTGGCCTACGCTATTTCTTCACGTTAGTAGTGTGTTCATTGGTGACTTAGACCTAGAATCTAGATTCTAGGTGTGTTTTAAAACGTGACAGAGAACAGAACTGGAAACATCAAAAATTTATTTTAGATTTATTAATTATTCTAGACTAGACAGCAGTTGAATTTTAGTTGAGTTAGATCTAGATCTAGATTCTAGATTTAGAATTTAGACTCAAGTAGTTGAATCATGAGAATTAATCAACGCGGACTTAGATTTTAGATTATTGGCATAGAAGTTTAGAAGTGGATGATAGATCAGATCCAGATTTTCTATATCTAGTTCGTGTGCTGGATTAATTGACTGTTGATTTTTTTTCATTATACTTGAAACTTCAAGTAAAAAAACGATTAGCCGATAAAACAATCGATCGAACGCTGCTGTTGAATACTCTTTTTCCGACCTGAAGGCAAGGATTAACTACCCTTGTTATAATAGTAAATGTATAACCTTGAGCAGGAGAGTGCATATTTCATGGAAATTATGAGTGGATTCAATTGTTCCGAGTGCTTAAACGTAAGGAAACTGATGGCTCGGTTACCTAGGATACGGAAAAGCTCAGAAAGAAATTTAACTTATTCAAAGGTGTGTAAACTGTAAACAATCTGACACAAAAGACCATAATTTGGTGTCAACACATTTTATTTTAATTATTTATTATTAGGCCTAATATATTTATCGTATTTATGCCATATAGTCATACATAGGCCTAGATCTATCTATATCCTAATCAATCATTAGAAACTTTCTTTTTAGAGACAATTAAATTAAGTTTTACTTATAACTATCTCTCTCTATCTCTCTCTGCTTCATTTTAATAGGGTTTTATTTTATAATGAACTATTCTTTGTTTGAAAGATCTGGAATGATCTAATTTTGATCTTTATGAAACCTCAGAGGCGTAGCTAGGGGGGGGGGGGGCATATGTCGCTAGGCCTCTGTGAAACCTGCACGATTTGTATAAGGCCTGTGTGACCTGGCTGTATAAAGCCTCTGTGATATGTATAAAAACATCTCATCTGTATGAGAGTATAGTTTTATGTGGTCTGTGTTACCTGTATGTATGAGGTCTGTGTGGTTTCTAGAAAACCTGTGTTATTTGTATGAAACCTGTGTATAATGTTCATCACACTTAAACACTGTAGTTAGTTTTCAACATGTTACAGTTACCTGGCCCTTTCATTAATCATTATCAGCAATTTTAATATACCTAAGATTTGTATACACACACACATATATATATTGTGTATATATATATATATATATATATATATATATATATATATATATATATATATATATATATATATATATATATATATATATATATATATAGACTGCCTAGTCACTACAGCCTATTTAGTTTTGAACTCTAAAATCCTAGATTTGTTGCATGCCCTGCTTTTCTTCACTTCATGTCTGTACGCCTAAGTCTCCTCACTGTCACAGTTTAAGGACAGCCTGTGATGTTGGTTTTAAAAGCCCTCAAAGAACATTTTTTAAGTCTCTGTGTGCTGAGATTATAGCCAGCAGAGCTGCTAACAAACCTTTGACAGCCCCAAACAATTACTCTTAAGCTTTGCTAATCCACCAGCTTAAATCAAGGTGAAAAAGCTTTTACCTGTCACCATTGATTTGTCAAAGGCTTTTCTTTCTTCACCAATTATGTTAATGTATTTCAAGTTTGTTCAGTTGATAACATTAATATATAATAGGCATATATATAGATATATAAAATGCCTACACATTTATATATACAGACTATATACAAACATATGTTATGTAAAATACAAATACATAAAATAAATAATTAATTATACTGTATATAAATAAATTTAAAGAAACAAAACTAAAAATAAATCCCATATTAACAAAACTTATCAATTTCATAATCACACAGCCATAAACATCCCACACTGCTATCAGTATCAGCCAACTTATCTTCATCTCTATTTATATACTAGTCTTTTTTTTTTCAAGGCCCTGCCTTTATGCATCAGCATGCTTATATTTCTTACTGCTTAGCTAATGCTAAATTTTTCTCTTTCTTTACAGCAAAGCTCATGGCGTAAAATTCGTAGTTTCATCCTGTGGTCTCCATTCATTCAAGTTTTCAAAAAACACAGGTACCCATGGATCCAGTTAGCTGGGCATCAAGGTATGTTAGGTTGTTGTATGAACTAAGTCTAGAACTCAGGTTTAAGTCTTTCATAGGATATCAACTTTGATCAAATATTGAAAGTTGTATAAAGGTGAAAAAAGTAAAAGTTAAGTACCCTTTCAAACCTTACAGTCCAAGTGGCAGCTAGAGTTCGTTGTTTCAGTGACCTCGATATATGAAGGGATAGTGTTGTCAGTACTTTCTATGGCCCCTTTCCTAACATGAGTCAGGTACCCATCAGAGCTGGGTGGAATCAGGGACCTCCTACAAACTCGAATGTTTATGAAAGTGAACTGCTTCTTCAATTTTTGAACATTAAACAGCAGTTCTAAGCCTTTTTCTAGAAGTTTAACTCTAGTAAAAATTCTTCTAATCTTCTTAAGTGTACCATGCATGTAAATATTGTAGTATGGGAGTAATGAGATGAGCCTTACCATGTGAGAAACTTGGAATTATATTGAGGGAATGGGTTTTATGGTAGTGAGGGGGTTAATATCTATGGAGATTCATATCTTCCAGCACAGCTAACCAAGCAGAACCATTGTTTAGATCTGTGCCATGTTTTGATAACTATTGTCTTAAAGCATAGAATACAAATTTTAATTAAACCCTAGAATAGGGCTTACACGTACTTATGTTTATCAAAGCATAGAATTGTTGTATCTCTCAGAAATGCTGTACACGTTTGTTTAAGAAAGTGTTTCATTGTTCAGGAAACTTCCATGCTGGGGAGGCAGGTTCAGTGTTGAAGAAGTTAGACCCCAGGGAACAAGTCTGCTTTCAGAAACTGATGCTAGACACACTCAGAGATTGTGTACCAGAGTACAGAGGCCCAGAAGAGAAAAATGGAGAAAGTATCCTTTTTAACAAAACAAAATAAGCTTGTTTTTGTGTACATATATTTTCACCATTTTGCTTGGTATTTAGAGCTACCTTAATCTTTTAATTTAAAAAGTAAAAAACGCTTATTCAATGCTTTCAAATTGATAGATCAAAAGATTTTTTAACTGTCAGTTATTTAAAACTTATACCTAATTAATATCTTTTATTATGTCTTTTATTATTATTATTTCGAGTTCTAATAGTTGATGTAAGGACCTTTCCCACTTTTTGTTATTTGAACCACCTTAAACTAAGCATATCTTATCTATTTATAAGGGAAGAGCCTTTAATCTATACTTAAGATACATTTTAAAAATTGTTTTGTTTGTTGTACAGTTATTATTTTATTATCACCCAAAGTGGGTTATTTAAAAATTAATCTGCCCCAAATAGCTCGGTTTATCAATGTGCTGCGGTAAGGTGTATTCACCTGATTAACTGACCTAATTTTAAACTGACCATTAGGGTTAATTTTTTTACTAAATTTCCTGTCAGAGATCTGAAAGCTTCTCTATTTTTGAACTGGCCGTTTCCCTCTTACTTCTTAATAAATCCGAGCAGTCTGAAACATAAAATGAATGATCCCTTAACCACTGAACTAGCATACATTCAGCTGCAAGACTTGTTGTGTTCATTCAACCACCCCTGTGTCATGGATGTTAAAATGGGGGTCCGGACATATTTGGAAGATGAGCTACAAAAAGCCAGAAAGTCTCCATCTTTGAGAAAGGTAAGCTCTTTCTCTTCACTTAGCATCCCTCTTATTACAGGTAATTTCTCTGGTAAACTACAATTATACATCAGAGTAATATAATATTCAGCTGACCTTTGAACTATGGTTGTTCACGTGTGTCATTGAGAAATGGCAGACACTAGTACAGCAGACACTAGTATGATAGACAGACACTGATTTGACAGACAGATAATGATATGGCCAAAACAAGAATGACAGTTACCATTATAACAGACAAACTAGTAAGGCAGTCACTATTGTGACAGACAAAAGTATGGCCGAAACTAGTTTTACAGACACTACTATGACAATGATTAGTATTTCAAGTCTAAGACCACAAATGCTTCATAACAACAAGCCATGTAGCTATCCCATTGTCTGTGGTTTGATTCCCTGGAATGTTAGCTATTCCTTTGTCTATACATTGATGGTGTAGGAATGCCAGTTATTTAGGCTTGACATCCCAGCACAATAGGCTTACAGGGAATCATCTGGTCTGCTGTCTTCTGGGTTTCCTTTGTGTCTACACTCACCTGGACTCTTTTTAAATACCTGGTTGTGATCTCAGGTACATTTTAAAAAGGGAGAGTGTATCAGGTTTAAGCCACAAGGGCAGTTAAAAATACGCAGCCAAATACTTCACACAGAGCTATTTATTTGAAATATTTTGCAATAAGCTCATGACATAAATTTTAAATTTTTCCTCTTATTATAATTACTTTTTTACAACCAAATGTATATAGTGCTGCATTTCTGTAATGAACTTACACTATACCTTTTTGGATCTCAACCAAACCAGCATCCTCAATAGTGTTCTCAATGTGCTTTGTGTACTTCATGTGTGTTCTAAAAATGGGGTAAGCCACTAATACTGTTCTTACTTGTACAGGACATGTACCAAAAGATGATTGAGATTGACACAACAGCCCCCACCACAGAGGAACATGAACAAAAAGCTGTGACCAAGCCCCGCTACATGCAGTGGAGAGATGAAATGAGTTCTTCTGTTGAGCTTGGTTTTCGTGTAGAGGGCATCAAGGTACAGAACTCTCAACTTTCAACTCTTAAATCTCATGGGATAGTGTCTTATAATTCAGTAAAATCTATTTCTGTTCTTTGTTCTAACCCCTTTGTGGCCCCTGGGCTGCAGTCACACCTTTCTGCCAGACTCGGTTCTGAGCAGATCTCTTTGCATGGGTCCACATAAGCCGGTAGCTATTGCCTCTTCTTTTACTGTTCTTCTATGGAATTTCCTTGGGCGGCCCATTTTCCTCCTCCTCTGGGGATTCAGTCTAAAGCTTTCCTTGCTATATTATCCTTTTCCCCTCTCAGGTTATGCCCAACCTATCCCCATATTGGTTTTTGTTTTGCCACAGGTCTTTATTTGTAAAAACCTATAGTAAATTTCAAATTAACTGTTAAATAGTTGTTTTATTCATTTATTTTATTTTGGCATTTAGTCATTTATTTTATTTTGGCAAAAACTTCATTGTTTACGCAAATTAAAATATTTTTTCAGAAAAGTGATGGGAATTCCAGTAAAGATTTTAAAAAAACCAAAACAAGAGAAAACATTGTTGATATAATTAAATCCTTTGTTGGAGATAATGAAACTATTGTGGTAAGTATCAGAAAATTTCCTCCTTTAGTAAATTTAGTTACCACTTAATTTATCAGAAAGCAAAAGAAGTTCTTATTATGAAATTGTCTTTGGATGACCTACATTGCTTATAGTGTCTTAAATATACTTGGTTGTTAATATTTGTTTTCTAGAGTTTTGAAGTTATTAAAAAAGTGTTTATGCACATTTCTAATGTCGTGTTATTATAATGTATGTGTATATCATTGTTTTGTATGGTATTTTTGCAGGAAAAATACTTACAAAGGTTAAAATATGTTATGCATACTCAAGAAACATCTGAATTTTTCTCTTCACATGAGGTAAACTTCCTTTTTAAAAAGCACTTTTAATTAAAATATTTTTTATTCTTACTTTTTACATTTAAAAAAATCATTCCATACATGCATGTTATTTATAATTTTTTTTAAGTGGAATTAAAAACTTGAACTTTACAGGTCATAGGCAGCTCCTTGTTATTTGTTCATGATATGGATGATAATGTTGGTGTTTGGATGATTGACTTTGGTAAAACAGAACCCTTGCCTGAAGGTGTGAAGATCAATCACAGAGACAACTGGGTGGAAGGGAACCACGAGGACGGCTACCTGTTCGGACTTGATAACCTGGTTTCTATTTTTGATGAAGTCCACAAGGGCCTTAAATCAAGTGCTGTATAATTGTGTGTTAGTTTATTGAGAATGATATTTGCAGGCTGGATGTTTTATTTTTAAGTATGCCTGTAAACAGGCAATGTATAAATGTAATTTGGGGTTGATGCTTGCATATGGTGTGTCAGATTATTGTATCATTGGATTTAAAATGTTTCAAAATTTCTGTAATAGTTAAAATAGTTTGCTATAAAGAAAAGCCTGTAATATAACCTTGTATTTGTATAATTCATCAATTTGGTTACAAAAATAATTGAATTTAGGCATTATTTATGTCAAAATTCATTAATATAAGGGAAGTAATGTACTCCAATTTTCCTTTTCAGTCAGCAAAATAAATTTAACAAGAAATTTGTTCTAAAGTAATCCAAAAAAAATTCTTTACACATCCTGTTTATTAAATATTTATGATCTCTTTTGATTATATAATTTTTAAATCCATGAATTGTTTAATATGAATTATTTATTCTATTAATAAAATTCACATAATGTATTTAAGGCTTTGTAGGAGTTGACCATACTATTGTTTAAGTTAATAAATAAGTTCAATATAATATTGTTATGGCTATGATGAAGTTTTAGTAAGAATTCAAGGCTCAAATCTTAAGTTGTGCTCAGGTTGTGAGAAGTATTATGTTTACTGTAGTTGCTTATTTGTGCAACGGTGAAATCTTTTAGGTTCTTTCTAAAAAATACTAGTTAAAACAGTATTACAATCTCAAAAAAATAAATACAATAAATAAATTGTTTACCTTGGGTTTTTTGTGACCAAAAGAAATGTTAATTTGTTACATTACATTTTTAACAAATATTTAGATCTCATTTTCTTATTATAAAAGAAAATTTCCTGGAATTATTACTTTCCAAGTAGTGGCATTGGCCCAGAAAACTTTCACAGGGGTCATAAATGTGCAGTAGTATTATAAAAACTTGTTTTTGTAGTCATTGGCTAGATTTTCTCATCCACACAAAAATGGCTACAAACTAGGCTTAACAAGATCATGCTGAATATAATTTATAGGATTACCAAAAAGGCATATGAAGTGTTGGCTTCATATGATTAGCTTGATTTAACAATAGCCAGTAAAAGTTAATCTTTCAAAAATGAAATGTCTGGTTGGTCTATATGTAAATAGAAATGTAGTCATATAATAAAAAAACTATTTTCAAGTTCTCTGCATTTGTCTAATGATTGTGATCCTTTCAGCCATCTGGGCCAATGCCATTATGTTCTTTTACAAACACTTACAAATTAATTTTTAAAAGCTTTTTAGGAACTTCTTTTTCTCTTTCATAACAATCACCAAATTTCCCATTTAAAGTTCATACATTTCATATGTTGTGAAATATGTATTTATATGTATAACATGCATGTATAATACGTATAAAAATGAGTATTTGGTTCTGTACATATGTAAAGTTGTGTAAAGTATAGCTCATTTTTTTTACTGTGATCTGATGTGTGCCACCTCATGTTTAACTTTTGGTGGCACATGATTAGCTGTCACTTTCTATAGCTGTTTACGATTTTTCTAAACTTAGTAGAGAAATAAAATTTGCCCGTTTTAAAATGAGTTTAAATCTCACTGATATGTGTCCAAGAATATTAAAAATGTTTAAAAGTAAATATTGTACAAAGCAAATGGCTGTATAACTATATTTTTTAGAAAGGCTATTATTATATAAATATATGCATATATAATTTATATATTTTCTATCAAGTGTCTTCTCTACATGTATGAGCTGAGAAAATAATTATTTTCTGAGATTTCTTGTGTTCTTGTTTAAAACAATTGCTTTAAGTCTGGGCTTGTAAATGTTTGAAAAACATCAGTATTTTCTTTTTAAATTTGTAAACAAAAATATCTGATGCTTTGTGAATTTTTTTTGTATTTTAAAATTTAAAATGCAGAAAAATATTTAGTATTTGCTAACCAGTCTTAATAGTAAAGTAATATTCTTTTAAGATTATTTAAATACTTTAAATTTTGACACATTTTTCTAAACCTTAGTGTACCAGTTGTCTTTTTGAAATCAAAGTTTTCTAACAACTTCTTAATATATCAAAAGTATCACATTTTAAAGATGTGCAATTGAAATAAACAATTGAAAAATATAATCTTGTTGTAACCAATTTCTTTAAATTGAAAAGCGTATCTGTGAAAAGTGCATGGCTGTGGATAAGATTACTGAAGAAACTATTTTTTTTAAACTATATTCTGTAATATTAGAAATAAAATGACAATTAAAAAACAACAAAGACCACATTAAAATATTTTGTATTTTATTTTGAATAAGGAAAAATTTGAACAACAGTCAAATAGTGTAGATAAAAATAATGAAAATCTGATCATATGCAAAAATAGCAACCATGACGACATCACAACAAGAGAAAGAGATGAAGACAAAAATACATTCACACCAAAAGTTGTATATTCAGTGAAGACCAAAGAAAAACATGCATTAGTGCACACGTATGGAGAGGAGGGGAGTTGTGGAGAAAAACTGACAGAAACAGGAGAGGGAAGGGAGGGGGGACCAAACCATATTACATTAAATATCTCACATCTAAACCTCACATAAGAATCTATACATCTGTTTTGGTGTTGTCCTTTCATTTTAATTTATATTGTCTAATAAATAAGATAAAATTCAGTATAATTCCTAGCCGAACTACTGTCAGTAAAATTTTAACAGCATAAAAAATTATCACTTTAAAAAAAAAGCACATTTGTTGCAAAAGCTACTTAAGTCAATGAAAAACAGTACACTGTTGGTTGCTGCTCAAAAGAAAAAACAAATCAAGAACACAAATTCAACTATAAAATTTTTAAAGAAAACAAATTTGTTCTTTAATTAAACAAATAATAAATATCTAATTCCTTAGCAAAAAAAAAATATTTTTTATACCTCTAGATGTATCACAGTTTTAGAAAGTAAACGCTAAACTGACATGAACTCTGCCATCGTTAATAATAGAGAATGGTTTTGGGAATGCAAACAAAGTTTTGGTGTTGAATCATTCAGCATACTCAGTAAATACAGCCACATTGACAACTCAACACAATAGTTACTCCTTTTAAAAAGTAAAAAAAACAACTAGACCCTGAATACATTGAAATGAAATAAATTTTAAACTAGAAAATGATTTTCAAATAAATGAACTGACTAGGGGCTGTAAGTCTGACCCCAAACATTCTTAGGAGTCATTCATTAATGACCTCACACAAATAGAAAGGGATGTTAAGGGGTCAGCACTAGTATGGAAATGTGTAAAATGGGAAGGGTGTGCTAAGGAAAAGTGACAGCATCAAAATGTCTTGTGTGTACTAACCTAATTCAACTAGCAAAATTTTATGTTCTCTCTGGCAATTTTACTGTTAAAACAACATAAATGTGCCGGTAGTATTTGATATCATTTAGTATAGGGTGGAGGTATATAAACCAGACAACTCATTAATGGAGAAATAAAGTAAAAAACCTAAACTTGTATGAAATCATTTATGAATGGCTCCTCAATGCAATCATCCAAGAATTAAAAAATATTTCCTTCAACCAAGTTTGCGCGTAAGTAACACCTCTTCTAAAAAATTCAACAAATTAAAATGTAATAAAACAGCTTGTAACAAAATTGTATATAACTATTCAGATCAAAGTTTTAACAATTAGGGGGTAGTTTTCAATGATTAAACACCATTCATTTTTTTTATACAACTAGAAAAAACTATCGGAACAGTCAAGACTATTTTAAAGCACAGTAATAAAATGATAGAAATTTAAAGCTCTACTTGCAAGGAATCTTTCCCTGCTAATTATACCATATAAAAAAGTACAAATGACTCTTACCTATAAGTAAAACAAAATGGCAACTGTGGTACATGCTATGTTCCTTATAACAGGATTAGCAAAGAAAGCCACATTATAATATGACTACCAGCCTTATTTACAAAGTGAATGTCTCCGCTGAACTAAACATAGTAGAAGATGATCCTGATCCAACCAGGACATTTGTACAAATTAGAATAAGACATTCTTGGTGAAATCAGCAGAAGCCTGACTGTTAGGGTTATCTAGATGCTCAGCACCAAAGGACAACAGATGGAGAAGATCCTACCTACTTGACAAAGCCTAGTTAATCTGTTCACCGCTAACAACCTTAAGCCAGTGGCTCTTACACCAGGCTAGACAACTGCCTGGTCACTCTACACTAAAGCAGACAACTGTTAGGCCAATGAGAAATTTGGGCTAAAAAAAAAAACATTTGAGTTGACACAGATTAACAAGGCTCTATAAAAAGAATGTCCATTTACAGGAAAACAAAACATCAATAAATGCAATGAGAAAGTAAGAAACAACTTTAGTTAAGCTTAAAATAAGATATGTTGTACTTATTTTAGTATTTCTGAATCACTAAACACTCAAGTTTTCATGGTTGTTAGTATTAGTATGAAAAACAGGATCAATCTATTTTAAGAATACAAATTTTAAGCCAAGTTAGACAAGCCTTGAGGAAAACATGAAAAGCAATGATGAACATTATTTATTTTGTTTAAATCAGAAGACCAGGTGTGTTGGTAACTAAGAAAAACAAGTTTGCTAAGCGGCAGTCCCTGCTTGAGCTGCTCTCATGTTGACACATCATTCATTCACAAAGACAAAAAACTGCTGGATGACAAGTGTTGAGCCATTGTTATTTGTAAGGAAACTCAAAGATTCTTATCAACATGAAAACAATGAAAGAAGAGAATTACTAGGCTGGACATTAAAACTCAAGCAGTGATCCAACTGGAACAATCAAGTGCAGGTACAGTTAATGCAATTTTAAATAGAACTTGATATCAAAGCTCGGGAATGTTGTCAATCAATTCTTTTTTTTTTACACAAAATTTCTTTTAAAATATTGTTCTTTTAACTAGAAATAAAGACTTCAGAAGGGACTGCCAAGAAAATTCTACAGATTTTTTTTTTAATTGACAAGTTCCTGTAAGTAATTTCTCTTTGGTGCTGGAATAAACAAAGGTAAACAAAACTGCAAAAATGACATCATGGGATCAAATGGCAAAGTCAGCAGGCCCCAACATTCTTTTAAAAAAAAAAGATGGCCAATAATTGTTTAAAAATGTATGCCTACACAGTAAAATAAAGACATCTGACAAGCAAGGTAGTTACACATGTTGTGCTACCAAACCAATACTTCATTAAGATCTAGATCTCAAATTTCTAAGGTTCAATTTTTTTTTTATTTATTTCTAAATAGTATGGTGAAAGGTATTATTTTGGAAGCACAACATATAAAAGCAATGATATCAATTTAATTTTTAAAAGTATCAATAGTTCTATATATATATATATATATATATATATATATATATATATATATATATATATATATATTGAAAGTTAAATATAGAATTAAGTATAAGAATAAAAATTTTAGTTTTTTAACACCGACTCATGACAACTCAAAATCTTTTTTCTTCATGTATACACATCTGTAGTGCATTTTCAATTTACTTGCCTTAAATATTATGTTAAAATTTAGTTATCCTATTATGGCCATATATTTTATTATCTTAACACTTGTAAAAGATTACTTTTTTTTTATAAAAACAAAACAACACATAAATACAATTTAGGGAGATTAATAATATGATGAAAAGAGATAAAGGGGGTGAGTATAGGGAGCATCCCTGGTTAATTTCAAACAAAAGTATGAAATGAGTAAGCAAAGACCTACATTCCTACACTGTGACATTTACAAATGTTTTACTAGACTTTAGTAGTATGCTGAAATATTAACAAATGTTAGCTTTATACAAATACAACTTCTTTCAATGCTATGAGCCTTTAATAGATTTCTTTTGCCTAAAAACTGCAAGTCTCATGTTTGTACAACCTGTGGTATATCACTATGTACAGGTAGCTTTGTGTCTTTTTCCAGTTATAAAGGAAACATCTCGGGTGGATACTTAACTTTACACACATGGTACAAGTTGGTTTTTGATAAGAAAATAAACACATGCAAAAACAACAACAAAAATAAAAGACTGATTGCCAAGCAACTACTACAGAAGGATTTTTTAAATGAAATAAAGTGGATAGAACTGTGAAAGACTTCAGTCTCTTTTTAGTTATTGAATGAGAAATAACAGTGATGGAAAGTAGACAGTTAGCTCCTATCAAGAAAGAGAAATATTTAGATTATAAAAATATGAGCATTTTAAATTGCATCAATACTGAATTTAGTAAAAGATAAGGGATAAGTAATCTCTAATTTATCTAGAAAATATCTGTAACAATAACAGGTATCACACAATAATAATTTTGTTTTTTAAACTAGTATGCTATTTTATCTGAAAATAATTTGAAGTAAATTCAAATTTTGTTTTCATTCATTATTATAATGTTATACAATTTTCTTTTAAAAAGTTTTAACAGATCAAATAAATTAAAAATTAAGTGTTGTAAATCAAAATAAAATGGCACTGTAGTACATTTAAAAAAAACTTGTTAATTTTTCATATTGCTGAAAACTGCTGATTACTGCATTACTTCATGTTTTTAAATATTTGCAACAAATGTACAGGTAATTTCATATACAAAGTAAGATTCACCACAGCACTGTGGACTACACTTAATGTGAACATAATTTTAGATATGTTAGTATACCAATTAGAGTTTTTCAATTCTCTATTTAGTTTTTAGTTACTAAATCCAGACACGAGTTTATAATTTATGAGTCTATAAATCTCAACAATAAATATACCACATAAATAAAAGATGTAATCATAGAAGGTACTGTTTCAACCCCAACTAACGGCTCTGTTAATTAATTTATAAATTACACTGGTTGAGTTTGTTTTTAAACAATGAAATCTCTCCATCAATAAATTAGAAAAACTATGAGCTGTTAATTCTATTCTAGTTGTAACAGACTTCTTTAAAAATAATAATTATGCAATAATATTTTACTAAGATGGAAAAATAAAACCAATAAAGAAATGTATTAGTGTAACAGTGTCATGGCAAGAAGAAGATACATCCTTTGTTTAAAATTTGATATGACAGAAAGGGAAACATTATGCTCCATATTTAAAAATGGGAAGTGGGAAAAAGTGTAAAAAATAGACAACATCAATAAAGTAAAAATTAAATCAAAATAATAATTCACAGAAAATAGGATATCGCTGCTATATTATTGATATATAGGTGGACAGGAAACCTAAAGATCAAGAAAGATTAAAATAGCGTGATTACTGAATCTGACTTTGTATGACTGGAGTAAAAGCTAGACTATAGCCAGTATACTAGCATAAGAATTGTCTAGCGTGACATAATAGAGAAATTTTATTGTTTTATAAAACATTTAAAGTATAAAAATAACCCACATTTAGACAAAAGTTAATTATTGAAAAATGACCATAAATGAAAAGCAAATATCCCTTCAGAGTTCCTTTGACTCAAAAAGATTTTATCTTTATCAGCAAGAAGATTTTTTTTTAAAACTAGCATATAGGCCTACTGGTTTTTCTAAAAAAGACATCTTTGCCATTTAAAACTTAATGACTAATTTAATGATAGATGTATTCTTAGCTTTAGAAAATCAAACAAACTCTTGCAGTGTAAGATAGTAAAACAAATATAAAAGACTAACTGAGAAAAACCAAATATTTTGGTTTTAATTTCAGAGGACTGATACAGAAATGTCATTGTGTAAATGATTGGCACCTTTTAAAAAACATACAAAATATTTTAAAATGTTTAACTTTTAGAAAGTGGACAAAAAAATTTAAGTATAGTTAAAATCGTACAGACAGAAAAAATGTAGCTATGTTTGTTAAAAAAATAAATAAACTTTCAACTTTTAAACATAATTTTTTAGCCTCTTTTCTTAAAGTTATCAATTATTTTCTGGTGGTAACTTCTTCAAATAGAAAGTAAAGTAATATTTTATAACCATACTTTCTTAACATGTTTAGGCCTACAAAGCATTCTTTTGCATATCTGTAGTTGTTGCAAAAATATATTTTTTTTTTAAATATATGAAATAAAGAAAACAGAGTTAGATTTGCTTAACTATGACAGATGGACTGGCTGTTAAAATTTAGAGAACTGCATATGGATACATTGTCCTTAAATGATGGGTTTCTTATGTACACATGCACGCTGATTATTTGGCAAAAGAAAAGAGCTCAGATGGAACTTTTGCTTTTAAACATATGAAAGTTAATGAGACTGGACATGACCTTAGACATCAACAACCATTTTCTTGTGAACATCCATATTTCCTACGACCTAAGTGAGAAGAAAAGGAACAAAATTATTTTTTAAACATCTTATATATAAAAATAAATATATATATACATACACGCACACACAAAACCAGACATTTAAATAAAACATCAAATGTATTAATGAATCAATGCCATTTTAAACAAGCACTCCTTCAACTTCACTTACTTTTATTTAACTATATGACTATTACTGCTTTAAATGTTTAGCATATTTTTTGTTATGCTATGTGGAAACTGGAAGTCTTACCAGTAAAGAAATTTTAAACAAATCTATGGAATCCAGAAATAATATTTTTGAAACTTAAAGTTTTTTTTCTTTTCTAGGTGCTAACCTTTAATATTAGACAACAGTTAAAGAGCATTTCTTTTAGCAATTATGGATACAGTACTCAGTGAATTTAGTGGCCAATAGTCCACCAATTTAAATGACGAATAAAAAAATCTCACTTCAATTCAAATTTATCAGGTTAAATAGGTATCAGATGAACATAACATAATTTTCTATTTTAATACTGCCTTCATTGTATGACAGTTTCCTTATAACGACAAAGCACTTTTTACTGATTAAGTTGCTTTCAATCTTTGTTAAAGGAGTTGAAAAGATGCTGAAGCAAAGGTGTGTTTAAAGAATCTATTCAAACAGGTATCTTTCTCTTGGCATAAAGAAAAGCAAACATTTTTAACTGTGACTGGTATAGCATCAACGTATAGATAAATAACTTTAAAAATGTTAAAAGAAATTAACTCACATCACAAAATTCTTCAAATGAGATCTTGCCGTCCCCATCAGTATCTGCATGAATGATAGTTTTATCTACTATCTGCTGTAGTTGTGTATCTCTAAGGTTATTTCCTACCATCATTTTCAAAACTTGAAAAAGTTCTCCATTGGAAATATAACCATCTTTGTCCATATCATAGATTTTAAAAGCAACTGTCACACAGAAATAGGATACATTATTATTGGAAATATATATTAAATAACTGAGTGCTTTCTATAAAAAAAACTGAGGCTAGAAAAATTTGATTTACCAATTACAAAATAAAATAAAGATAATTACTATTTTATTGAAAAGGAAATCCTAATGTCAAATCATTCTAGTAGCTAATGTTCCAGAGCTGACAAAAACTTGATGTAAACCTAATGTGAATTTGGGAACGTTTAGTCTTGAGGACATTTTTCTGACACAAAGCATTTATTTACTTATCTTGTAGAAAAAAAAATCTACCTTATGCATTGTCAAGCCCTGAAATCCACCTTATTTTATATTTTACTACATAAGCTACAAAATAATACTTACACCGCAACTTTGACTCCTTATCACCTTTTACACTAAACTGTGAAATGCCTTCAATAAATTCTGAAAAGGGGAGAGAGAATGAAAATTAAATAAAAAGAATGCTGCAAAATATAAAATTGAAATTATTAAAGAAAAATATGTTCACAATGATACAAAAGGTCTTTATATTAAAAACAATGACATTTTATAACTTAATATTAAACAATGAAAAGTTGATGCTCATTTTAATAACATCACATTACACAATGAACCAATTTTTGACAAAACAATTTTCTTTGTGTGTGAAGCTCAAATTATATTAACATTAATTTACAGTGTAAACATCACTAAAATAAAATATTTACACAATACGGCAACCTCTAAACAGGCAATTACCTTTAAAATCAACTTCACCATTTCCATCAGTGTCAAATATATCTATAACTCGTTGAACAAGGGGATTCTGGTGTAGTTCTGGTAATGACATGAATTCATCAATGCTAAGAGCTCCAGAGTTGTCTAAATCTAACTTCCTGAATCGCTTTCCTAACCTCTTGATTTCATCCATGTCAACTTGAAAAAACAATGTTTACACGCATTTAGTGAACAAATTCTGTGTAAAAATGCATACCTCTTTTAAATTTGTTTCTATACTGAGTATTGTTATAATGATGTAATGCTTTCAAACAAGGTTTTTATTATTTTAATGTTTATTAAGTAGATAACCTTCTAATTTTATATCAGAAATTATGATTTAGAATAACAATATAGTATTAGTATGTACTTACAAGTAGAACATAACTCCATAGGAAGGCTGTTTTCATTCCCCTAAAAATGAACAAAAAGGGATATTGAAAATTTTACTCTAATAATTTTAAAAGCATTGGGGGGAAGGGGGGTAGCTCCTCAAAACTTCCTCGTATATTCTTATATGATAGTAGGAGTTTGGATAGTACTTCAGTAGAATCAGACCTAAGTAAGTGTGAAAAACTGCTTGTTTTTTTTTTTTGAAAAAAACAGAGGTAAAACGTTCTTAGAAAAATAGTTAACACAATTGCCCAAGCCAGTCAACAGTGAATGAATATACAAGTCTAGATCTATCAGATGTTTGAAATTGCTCAAAAGTTCAAAGAAACCTGTGCACAGGATTTAATACTGATATTAGAAATTGTGTCCACTAAATTAAGAAGGTAGTCAAGTTATTGTGTCCACACAGACATACAGAAAAGACTGCATAAATGGGTTTTCCAACTGGGGAAGGTGTAAAATGTCATGATCAGTCAAAATCAATTATAATTGTGTATGAACATTACAATATATCCCCCTATACTCCATATATGATAAAGCAAAAAGTAAATGTTAAAGTTAATCTTGAATTAATCAATAAGAACATAATGTGACAGATACAAAGAACACATTTCATTTTTAATTTTTGTTAGCCTAGCCCTAATCAGCAGCAAAGTACAATGTTTTGAATAATTTAGATAGGCCCCCTAGATGCTTAGTATCTATAATAATAGTTTCGCTGTCTGTCTATCTGACAAGAACGCTCTGTCTGACAAGAACGCTCTGTCTGACAAGAACGCTCTAGAGAAAACACAAGCAATTTAAAAACATGCACAGTAATTCGAAAAACGAAATATGACGTCGACACATTTAGCGTAGAGTAGAACATAATCTCCAACCAGAGAGTGCACACAGTCATATGACGTTATTGATTATCGCGTAAACATTGAAAAAAGCAAATTTTATCTAATCTAAGTAGTTTGCGTGAAGAGTTTCTTTCATAGAATTCTTTGGGTAGGGGCGAAGCCCCACCCCCGTGTAAGAACGTCTGAGCCCACCCCCCCTCCCTAACTCAAAAGAAATTTCTTTATTGATACTCTATAATAAAATTACCGCCTAATTAATGTGTCTAATCTAAAAAGTGGTTTTCTTGCAATGGGACGGTAGACATGTTTTTTTTTTTGGGGGGGGGGGGGGGGGTGTGGAGGGGTGGGAGGGGGGTGGAGGGGTGGGGGGGGGGGGTGTGTGGGGGGGGGGTGGGTTGGTTTCAGTGTTTTTTTCAGACTTTTTCCTCCCCGGAGAGGGGTGGGGGTACTTGAAATTTTCGGGGGCGGGGGTAGAATTTTCTGGGAGGGGGCGGACACTGGAAAAAGTATATAATTATATTTCGTTGAATGGGACGGTAGACATGTTTTTTTTTGGGGGGGGGGGGTGCAGGGGTGGGGGGGCGGTGTGTGTGGGGGGTGTGTGTGGGGGGGGTGGGGGGGTGTGGGGGTGGTGTGTGTGGGGGGGGGGGGTGTTGGTTTTAGTTTAGAGAAAAGAGACAGCACTATCAGCCTAGCGCCCGTTGTACCCTTCCTCAACGGGCCATTTTTCTCGTATATAATATTAGTGTCAGTTGTAAGCATTGAAATACAGTTAGGCCCTACAACTCCAATGTTTGTATATTATTAATTATGGAAGTTAATAAATTCAATTAAATTGTAGGCAGGCTGCTATTACTCAATGCTAGAGCTCATTATGATTATCTAATGACATAATGATAATCTAATCTAACGTACTAACAGATAATCAGTTATATCAGAATATCTATATTTTTAATATGCCTAGTTGGCCTAGCTAGTCTGCAGTAGTAAGTTGTGGTGTTTTTTTATATTTTATAAAATTATATGGAGTGTAAAAATGTGTAACACTAACTCAATAACAGTACTGTAACTAGTAAACTAAAAAAATATGTAGATTAGGCCTAGATCTAAGATAAATTTATTTTATTTTATTTGATCAATATGTACATCTAGGCCAAATAGAGAAGAGAGCCAACAAAACAATAGAATGAATGAAGTATTAATAATTAAATTAACTTAGAAACAGAATTACCTACTGGATGAACACAAAGGGGACTGCTAAAACTAAAAATTGTTAAAAACTTAAAAGTAAGTGTAAGAAGTAGTTAATTGCCCAAGCCAGTCAACAGTGAACGGTTACAAGTCTATATCTACAGATCGAACTGTTAATCTATTAGATTCCTTACAAGGGTTATGTCCAGAGGCAGAGAGTGAGCGAGTTGCTGAGTTACAGTTTGGTAGTGGTGGAGTGGTAGACAGTGAGAGACAAGCTAGACAGGAGTGAGATGATCGTCTAACTCAAGTTTTGTATTTAATCATTCCTACTGTTTAGCTAAATGGTATTAGATATATCAAAATGTTAAACTCAACGACATGAAGTTAAATTTATAATCATAACACATAAGGTACAGATAATAAAATAAACAGGTCGAACCATTTTTGATTCAGTCTATCCTGCTGTTGACAATATTCCCCCACTATCGCCAGTCGACTTCCTTTTGCTATGTCATACGGGTCTTTTCATTTCACCAGAAACTAAATTCCGAAACGAAATGCAGGAGTAGGCCTACTGTATAATTTATTTTTGTCAGTAATGTATTGTAAGCATGTTTTTTTTCTCTCCAGGGTCAGTTCAACAATGACCCTGATTACGAATCATGATCTAAGCTACAAACTAAAAGGTCATGCGTACTTATTCCCATTTACCTTGCGTACTATACATTATGTAGGCCTATTGGAGACCATGGCATATAGGGCCTGCTGTGTGCAGTGGCGTCGCTAGGTCGGGTGTCACCAGTGGCGTAGCCAGGATTGTCTCAAGGGGGGCTCCAATTTTTACCCGGGGACAAACTTTCGATTTGCACCCCCCTCAAACTTTCGATTTGCACCCCCCCCCCCCCTCAAACTTTCGATTTGCACCCCCCCCCCCCCTCAAAGTTTTGATTTGCACCCCCCTCATACTTTTATATATATATATATACCGAGGGGTCTATGGGGGGGTTATGACCCCCCTACCCCCCCTGCCTACGCCACTGGGTGTCACCCGGTACAGCACCTCGTGGTGTCACACCCCACCCCCTAAGAAATAAAGCATATATATATATATATATATATATATATATATATATATATATATATATATATATATATATATATATATATATATATATATATGTGTGTGTGTGTGTGTGTGTGTGTGTGTGTGTGTGTGTGTGTGTGTGTGTGTGTGTGTGTGTCGGCCTACAATTTAAATATATGCCACATACGCGTACATGCATGCGTATAAGCCAGGGGTCGGCAACCTTTTGAAGCGGAAGAGCCAAAAGTTACAATTTTCAAAATTTCCCTGGTTTTAAAGAGCCACTAACATTTTTTTCATTTCAAATATTTTATTTTTTATTAAGATTATTAGTATTTGTTCAAGGAGCTGAAGAGCCGCATCTTGATATCAAAAGAGCCGCATGCGGCTCGCGAGCCGCAGGTTGCCGACCCTTGGTATAGTATAGTACAGGGGTCGGCAACCTTTTGAAGCGGAAGAGCCAAAAGTTACAATTTTCAAAATTTCCCTGGTTTTAAAGAGCCACTAACATTTTTTTTATTTCAAATATTTTTTTTTATTAAGATTATTAGTATTTGTTCAAGGAGCTGGAGAGCCGCATCTTAATATCAAAAGAGCCGCATGCGGCTCGCGAGCCGCAGGTTGCCGACCCCTGGTATAAGCTCTAATTACTGCAGACTTATAGAGTAACGATATTTATCTATTGTTTGTTAATAATACAGTTGGATGTAGCAATGTTTTCTATATAGTTAGCACGTTTACGTCATGGTGTAACCCCACCCTCTTAATAGTTCTCGATTCGTACTTAAAAGACTATTTAACTTTAAATAATCATTAATGGAACAGGCAATTTTTCAATTTTTTTTGCCTTGGTGTCACCCCCTTAATCTTAAATGACGTGTCACCCGGTGCGCTAGGCCTCTGGCTGTGTGCATTTTTATATTGTGTTGTGTTGGGTACTAGGCTACAAATGATGTTATTTAACACTGCGTATAGATTGTCTTTAATTGTCTAAATGTTTACTTTTGCAAAATGTATACCATTTAGAATGGCTGCATTTTTTATTATCACTATTTTTAATTCAAAGTAATATTTTGCAAATGTGAAACAAGTTATAATTATTTTCACTCAAAAATAATCAAAACTAAATTGTGTTGTAATTTGGGGGGTGGTTGCGGTGGTTCTAAAAGTAAGAGGACTGGTGGCCTTAAATGAGGTATTGTGTAAGGTGGTAGGTCTAATTAAGAGGGTAATACATAAATAATGTCCCACTTTTAGTCCATCACCCCCCCCCCCTCCATCCGTCAATCATCGATGCAATTAGTTAACTCTCCACTAAATTGGAGTTTTTCTTTTTTCTTTTTTTTAGTTGTTGTATATTTGATTTCTTTTTAAATATTCTAATCTGGTTCAGGATTAGGCAATCTAATTTAATTAAAAAAATCACAAAATTATTTATCTGTAACAATTCACTTTCAATAATGCAGGCTATAACCCCCCCCCCCCCCCCCCAACCTTCACGAACTCACAAGTAGTAGGCCTACTATAGAATATAATTAGAAACCCAAAAGCAACTCGAAAAGTGATATTTGATCAATAACCTCAAATAATTAGCTGTAATATTTATCCCAAAACAAGTGGTCTAGGACAGGGGTCGGCAACCTTTTGAGACGGAAGAGCCAAAAGTTACAATTTACAAAATTTCCCTGTTTTTAAAGAGCCACTAACATTTTTATTTCAATATTTTGCTATTTGATATGGAGTAGGTAAATAAATTGTACTAATGATTTGAAATAAATAGCGTTAAATATGAACTAATTTTGAATCATATAAAAACATAGCAATGTTTCGCACAAATAATGTTTTAGCTAACTCTGCTATGATAAAATTAGTAATCAAATAATATAACTATATGACTATCCAATCCACTTTAGAAGCCAACAACGTTTTTTTTTTTCTTTACGGACACCACTGGCTCAGGAGGTGTCTCCCATTAGCCAGTCAGGTCTCAATACGGCAAACTCCGAATAACAGGCTTGGATATCGGTTTCATTACTGTATCGGTCGCTTCTGTCTTTCGGTTCTCACAGGGCTTCTTCCGACCTACTCGTACCCCACAGTCCAGTACCTGGCTCAACCATAGGAAGCCAATAACTAAAGGACTACGTCACTGACAGGTAGAGGAATTCATTCTGAATTAAATAACACGAGCCGACCCGCGGCGTATCATACGCCGCTATTTAGTTGTTTTATTTTCTACTTTTCAGTAATTCATAATTTGTGAATTCGACAGTACCAATGCTGCCACTGAAAATATTTGCTTTAAAACACTAACCCCCCCTTTCCCCTAAC